AAACTGGTTTTCCAGAAGACCGGTCTTTGAAGGCCTAGCAGCAGCATTCATGGTGATATTCGGAATCAGCATCGTCGACTACCTATAGCCCACTCGGTTTCGTTGAAAAAGCGATTTATCAGTTGGGGTACTTCCCTCGTAAGAATATGTACTCAAGATTGAAATCCGATTAGTTTACTGAATTCCCCGTCACATCCGAAGTATACAACAAAGTAGTTTTCAGTTTACAGAACCTTAGAGCAAAGCCTCCTGAGAAACATCTTTGCAAGCGAAAACAGGATTCGAAAAACATAGAAAACAAAATTTTTAGCACTGGCTTTGAGGAAGAAAAAAGTACTTGCAACTTTTGTCATCTTCAAACGTATCTCTGTCATCAAATCCATTTTTCCCTATAACAGAATACGTTTGAAATTATATAATCATAGAAACTAGAAGTGTTTTAATCACTCGTAAATGGGGTATGGCACAGCGTGCATCCAAGCGAGCATTTGGTGAAAAAATGAAAGTTGACTTTTCACTGATTCAAATAGTGATTAATATACTATGCTCTATTCGATGGTAAAAATTTTTTTTTCCTACGTCTAATTTAAGAGAAAGGCCATCTTAATACCAACCTTTACCGGCACCTGAGGTATCTCCAGTTTTTAAATCTGAAGTGCTTGTTAGAAAGATCATGTTAGATAATGGGTTCTTTCTACTTATGTTTTTTTCTGAATCTGCTCTCTTGACGTAGTAGCAGGGTCAGCTTTTCTCGCTTTACAGTTATACTCTCAAAAAATGATCTTTCTGACACTAAAAAGTATTTGTGAAATATCTCCGTAAGCAACCATCCAAGCTTTTTTGTTGACAGACCATTCGATAGAGGAAAGTCAGCGCTACATACCTGTAGGAGTGTATCAGGTTGTGCCATCAGAGCTTTGGTGATGGAGGCATTTTTTCCAAAGAAGCGGTCTGTTAAAAGACTAGTACGAATAATTATATTTTCACCGTTGACTGCCTTGGACTCCGAGTTCCCGAAGTTCTATTTTACTGTTTATTTTATGTAAATCAAAATAATTTCCTTAACAACAGTATTTCTTTGTTTTTTAAACATTCAACATTGCGAGAACATATTGAACTATTGGATGATAAATATGATCGACCGCCACATATGGAAAAATGGAAATCGTTTAATATTGAAGAAGATAAAACGATTTGATTAATAATAAAGTCTATCTTCTTCTCTTCTGAGAGTTTTGCTGGAAACCATAAAATATGCATCAGATGATCAGATGCTAGCGCCACCGTATGTCGAAAGCGATGTTCACCTTAACACCGTTTTGTAGCTGCAAGACCGGTGCTTGTTCATTGCTATACTAATTGTCTGACGAATAAGGATTCTGCCAACAATAAAATAACTATTTTCGACTGAGACTCTGATCAGCTGCCCAAAAGTGTCCCAATTGTTTCTTGTTGACCTTTTCTTTTTGTTTTCATGTACATTCATGCACTGTGGAAGGTGGTAATCGCTTTTCTATGTTATTCACTCCATGCATTTAATCCAAGGATTGGATCCATACCATCTTGACTCTAAAGAACACTATGGATTTATGCTTTAATTATCGGTATGTCTCATTCATTATCTATCATCAGTTGCTCTAAACAATACAATTGATAAGTTTAAGCTCATAGCACTTATCGAAACCGGTGTTGCTAGCTGCATGATCGACACTATATTTCAATCAAACACATCCACACCCAACTTCGAGTTTCGCAAAAAAAATCGGGGCTCCAGGGGTTAAAACAATGTTGAGCATCAAAGTGATTGTAAAGATAGTTGTACTGTAATAATTATAATATGTTTACGATTTGTCTTTTTGAAGCACTTTTTCCCAAGCGTCTTGCAGGGCTCGTTGTCGTGCCGCGCACGCTTTTCTTTCCGCGAGATGCCCTGCAATTGACCAACAGTTGTCGTAGCCGCTGCTCCGGGATCCAAACCCAAACATATACCAGGTAGAATGCCGGCGGGAATGCCCGCAATACAAAATCCAACGGCAGCGCCAATGGCACCTGTCAACACACCACCGAACATACCGTTCATGAATGCGTTTGAAGCCGCCGTTTCAGTCTGCAAAGATATGGAGAAAACATTAACTCGAGCTGTCATAGTTCGAAATAAAGTTTTCATATAAGACATATGCTATAAGGATGATAGGATATATTGTGTAACTAAGATAGGGATTGCAAGTATTTGGATATTAACTCTTTTTCGACCAATGTTCAAAAATTCAAACTTCATTTTCCATAAAACTGCACTACTTTTTCAAAAAGTTTTGGTGCACCAAGAGTCAACTATTTGCTCGGTTTGACAATGTATGAAAATGAACATTTGTACCTTCCAAAATTTTAATTGCTTAGATCCATTACGAAAATTGATAAATAAATTCACTGTGTTACCGATAGCTATAAATAAATTTACTGCAGTTTGATTAGATTAATTTATGTACAATAGCTAAAATTAAAACTATCGTCTGTAAAAGAATAGTGCATTCGGCCACTTTTGCAATAGCTCAAGGCCAGAAAGAGCTAGAGAGCTCAGTTTTCACCGTAGGAAAGAGCGGATAAAGATGCATCGAACCGTATATTACAAGTATTTTTAACATGGATTTTTCCACATTTTCAACAAACTTTTTCTAAAATTAACGCATCTCATGAACTTGACAACAGGGAATTTCACTTTCCAATTGTGCAGTAAACTCCCGAAGCAAAGATCTGCACAACGGCACAAGGCTGAGCTCTTTAGCTTGAGTTAGTCAAAAGATAGACGCATTTTCCTCGGAACTATTAGCCGATCTTTCTAACAATTTCCATAAAGAAAAAATTCATTTTTTTTCACTTTTTTTCCATAAAAAATTATTGTTTAAAGTTTTTCGGCAGCGTTTGTAAAAAGCTGTGTTTAGAAAAATAAGTTACATACGGTTCGATGCATCTTTATCTGATCCTTAGAACGGTAAAAACTGCAGATCTCTAGCTCTTTCTGTTTTTGAGCTATTGCCAAAATGGCCAAGTCCACTGTTTGTTTTACAGACGATAGTTATTGCTATTTCGCTATAGCAGTAATAAAAATTATCACAAAGATTGTATCTGAAGCGTTCTATACAATAGAGATTCTAAATTTACTCTGACTTTAAAGTAAGGAATTATGTTACAGTCGGGAACCCTACCTTTCGCCTTCGTTTCACTGGCATTCGTCACATGCGTCCGCATAGGACTGTTGCGTGCGAAGAATGTTTCATGAACGAAAATGAAAGTTAATTAAACTTTTTCTACGATTTAAATAAACTATATTGACATTACAAGCCTAAAGATGTTAAAATGGGTTTTCAACTGAGAAATTTTTAAAATATCCAGTACTCTTACCTGATCAACTAATTCTACATAATGCTTGAGTAGAATTAAGAAATGTTCGCAAGTACTAGATTTTATACTATAGGTCGATTCATAATCAATCATTTCATGGGCCATGCGAATCATCCCATTTGTCGACTGCACAGAAAGACCCAAACTGTATTTACATTGCTCGAAATGTTGGACTTCGCATTTGTCATCTCCAGCAACGTTTTTTAGCCGATCTTTACGTACGATTACGAATTCTCCCGTTTTAACCTTAGCATCTTCACGGCTTGCGATATGAATCACATTACCATCACCAACGTATAGCCCTGCATGATAATATTGAATAAGTTGGGAATCAATCCGTTCGAACTTAACAATATCGCCGCATTTAAGATTAATTTTATTTGCGAGTTCATTATCGGTTAAAGACCTTTTGCTTATGATACATTCTGGTTCACACTGACTAGAAGAGAAAAGAAATATTATTGCATAATACAATTAGATGGTACTCATGTAAACTCCGCTACGAAATGCGGTGCAACCTGGCTTCGAATGTATCAAAAAATCGAGTTTTTGCAAAAACGAATAATCGCTCCTACGATAAAGTACACACGGTTTTCGCGAAAAGATATTTATAGTTTACTGGAATCAGATTTTTTTGTCGATGTAGTAGAAAAAGTTACGCTTCAATTACTCGAGTGATCAAAGTTGGAAAGAGCTTGAAAAGTAGATATTGCGAGATTCACCACTAAGAGAACTCTATTAATACATATCATCTTGATTCTAAAGAACACTATGGATTTATCCTTTAATTATCGATATGTCTCATTCATTATCTATCATCAGTTGCTCTATACAATACCAGTTGTTCAAACAAAGTGGTGACTAACTTTCTTGCTAATTTCATTTTGATTATGTTAAATAGTGAGAAAAACGAAATCCAACAAAATTTGTCTTGTCTAGAGTCTATCTGTAAACGAATGGGACCACCTAATAAGAATCTGGAAATAAATTTCAGCGATTCAATCTCGATATTTTCATCTCACGTTGGAATGAGTATTTGTCGTTTAGCAGATCATTGAGACACAAAATAACAAATTTCGCATCGAGCTAGAAACTAGATGGTATTCAAGTTTCACTCGGCTGTGAAATGCAGTGCGAAGCGTCAAATGTTGAAAAATCGATAATTTGGAAAACGAATAATCATCTCTGAGGGCGAGCGTGAGGGTGAGTGAGTTGGTATGGTGGGTGAGAGTGAAAGAAGATCATTATCCTCACCCTCATTCACATCTTTGGCCTCACCCACCTACCCTGAAAATACGCAGAGAACATCCGGAATGTATGTGAGCTTGGCTGAAAAAATAAAGTTATTGCTAGTTTCGGAGCATTTAATATACTTCGAACGAATATTTTTTAATCTCACCGCAGAATTGTCTAACAAGGGAACTTCTTGAGGTTATAAATCGCTTTTGGATTCAGACTACTTTTATCTTGTAGATCTCAGTGAGTAGTGAAATACCCTAAGTTGGTTCATCCTCATGGTGCTTTGCTGCTGAGATACTGAATTTTTAGTCAGTTTTTGCCTATACTGCATTGATTTCGAGCAAAATCCGACTTTCGAATTTTGATTTCAAACGTGCCACACTTGTAGCCCATGGTCTTAGTAGTATGACGGAAAAATATTCGATGCTAGTAAATTTTCCTGCCTTGAGATATTGAGACTCGAACATTTCACCAGAAGGTAAGGGTAAGGGTCAAATATTCGAGTCTCAATATCTCAAGGCAGGAAAATTTACTAGCATCGAATATTTTTCCGT